CTTTCCCCTAATTAAAATGTCGGCTCCAGAGGCAGGGACCTCTGTGTCCCCTGGAAATGTTTGGCACACAAAGGTTCTTGAACGTTTTGTTGATTTAATGAATAAATGAGTGAGCCAAAGAATACACCAGTGGTTCTCAAAAGAGAGCTGGTTTGGTGCCTCCCCAGCAATGTCTGGAGACACTTCTGGTGGTCACATCTCGGAGGCTGCCACTAACATCTAGTGGGCAGAGGCCAGGGATGCTGCTAAACACCCTGGAGTGCACAGGACGGCCCTTGCAACACAGGATGTCCAGCCCCAAATGTCAGAAGCATCAATCCTGGAATAAATACATTTGTAACAAAGAAATCATTAAATTTATAATAATTATTTATTATTCCAGAGGAGTTAACTCCTCCAGGTTCGTGCAGTCAAACTGTCCACTATCAAACATCAAGGATCCTGACCAACGTCCCCTTCCTGTCACTAACTTCCTTGAACTGTGTGGATCACAGTTCAGCAGAAACCTCTGTTCAGGGAGTTGGGATGCCTTACGCAATCAATTTCATGTTAACAAAAAATATAAATAAGAGGAAGTTAAGTGTCTGTAGATATAAGGAGTTAATTTCAAAATATGTAATTCCGTGCCCTAATCAAAGAGAACCGAAATTTGTCTAGTTCCTTGATTCTGTGGGTTATTTTCCTTGGTAATCATGAACCTTCCTCAATATTGGTGAGACCTGCTTATGTGTTACATTTCTATATTTTTGAAATAGATTTTAGAGTGGAAAGGCGGCAGGGTGACTTGTTCCCCAAAGTCACTGGGGACAGGGGGACCCCAGAGGGCACGGGGTCCACACTCGTTGAGGCAAACAGACTTCCTGGAATAACAACAAAGAAAACCAAAATTCTTTTTCTCTTCAGTGTGTTGCAGCTCATTGTGTGTCTGTGTGTGTGGAGGGGAGGCAATTAGAGATGAGCCTGTGTTGATTTCTGAGAATGAAGCACAGCCACCTAAACAATGTCTGTGCCCCCACCTGCCCCCCTTCTCCCTTGCCCCCTGCCCCGACAGCTTCTCTCAGGTCAGTGTCAAACAGAGGTGTCAGGAATGCTCTGAGCTCCTTCAAATGCAAATTTAACTTATCCAAATCCACACCCCAGAGAGCCAGAGAATAATCTAAGTCAGGGCTCTCAACCCGAGACTTTGCCCCTAGGAGACAACTAGCAACATCTGGAGTCACAACCCGGGGAAGGCGGGGAGCACGGTGACTGGCATCTAGTGGGTAGAGACCAGGGATGCCACTAAAGTCCTACAGTGCACAGGTCGACTCCCATAACAGGGAATTATCCAGCCCCAAATATCAACAGGGCTGAGGCTGAGAAAGCCTGCCCTAAGTGGGGGGGTTGGCGGACTGAAGCCCGGGAAATGCTGTTCCCACAGCAGAGCTCATCCCTGAGTGCTGCCCCCTAAGCACAGTGGAATATAAGATGAAGACTTGAAAGCCAAACTCCCCAGCTTGCCACTTAATAGCTATGTGACGTTCAGCGAGTCACTCAACTCTTTCCCTCCATTTCTTTAATCTTGAAACTGATAAAAATCATAGTGTCTACTTCATAGGTTTGTAATACAGATTAAATGAATTATTATAAGTAAAACACCTAGAATAGTGCCTGCATATTGTAAGTACTAGGAAAGTGTTTACTATTATTGTTTTTCATTCACTATAACTTCCCCTAAAACACAACCAGCAAAGTCATCTGCAGCTCATTTTGAGGAAGAGCTTTTCTTTCCAACATGAGAAAATGAATGGACAGTGAAAGACCACTTGAAAGACAAAATGTTATTCTACTTGACAGGGTAGCTAGGGATTTGCAAGGGAAGTTTTGATTTCATGTGGTGATTGCCTTGGGACCTGGCCGCCACTAACATGTGACCCCCTGGGGTGTCTTCTCATCTGACACCCCCTGGGCGGAATGAGGACCAGCACTGACCAAACCCTGCCGACAAACCGGCCCTGACAACGGGGACCCAAACCAAGTCCAAGGAATCTGTCTGAGGCAAGATGAGAGCGTCCTGCTTTGGGAGCGAATCCGCTGAAACCCAGGACCTTTGGGTCCAAATGAATTTTGTGGAGACAGTACCTTGAAAGCATAAACATAACTTTCCACAGGAGGGACCGTCTCCTGCTCCGGGGACAACCTCAGTGCGACATCCTGGTCTAGCTGAGGACCTGTCTCCACCCCAGTCCTCCCACAGAGACAGGACACAGAAGTCCCACCTAGGGTCAGGTAACAGGTACCATTTATGAAGCCCACACGAGTTATCAGGGGTCCCACTAGTCTTTGTTACATAGATATGTCACTCGATTTAGTCCTTTTTACACAACCCTATGATGGAACCAACGTCCTCCCCATTTTACAAATGAGAAAATGGGGGATCCAGAAGGTACCCTGACTCGTTCAAGGACACTGTGAATAAAGGTGAACATCAGGCTTGCCTGGAAGTGACCTGGGTGGAACAGCCCCTGGGTTGGGGAACCGTGAGCTGGCAAGCAGGCCATGGGTCTCGGCGAGCAGAATCATAGGAAGGCTCACAGGAAATAAGAGGCTGAACCTTCTAGGCTTCAAAGTGTCTCACAACGCTCTGGCTTTTGCATCTAGCAGCCCAACACAGCCCCCATAGGTGATAGGACACCAGGAATACTCATATGTGTGGGGGTAGTGGCTGGGGTCTCCCAATGAGACGAAGATGCTGTGTCGCTGCCCTGTACCCTCTTTAGTTAGAGCTAAGTAAGATTCTGATGTCACTGCCTGGCACAAATTCCAGTTCTAGAACTGCACTGTCCAATAAGGTCGCCACATGTGGCTATTAAAACTAAAATTAAATATCCAAATTTTTGTTCCTCAGTCACACTAGCCATGTATCAAGCGCTCAGCAGCCACATGTGGCTAGTGGCTACCATATTAAACACAGATACAGTGCGTTCCCATCCTCATAGAAAGTTCTAGAGGACATTGCACCTCCACAGCTTTGCTTATAAGTCCTTCAGGGTGTGGCCCCAGTCTCTGCCCAGACTACTCCCCAGTGATCCACACTCTCAACTCCCTAAACTCATCTTACCTCTAAGTCTTCGCATGTGACACCCTTACTCCTTCTCTGCTTAGCTAACTCCTACCCATCCTTCAGGTCTCAGCTCAGCTGTCCCTTCTTCCCCCGATCAGGATAACGATGCCATGCATGTAAACTCTGAGGTGTAATGGTCATGGGCATACCTACACCTTGCACCCCCACACCAATGTTTTTCAGCTGGGGACAAGTTTGCCTCCTGGGGACATTTGGCAGTGTCTGGAGACATTATGGGCGGGGTGCTGCTGGCATCTGGTGAGTAGAGGCCAGGGATGCTGCTAAACATCCTACAATGCACAGGATAGCTCCCATAGCAAGAGGTATCTGGCCCAGAAGGTCAGCAGTGTCAAGGTTAATCATCTCTGCTCTGGGCTGGGCAACCCCCTAAAGGCAGGGGGTGTGCCCTTATACCGCAGAGCCCCAGCCGCCGGCCCAGAGTCTGGCATACCGGAGCTGCTCAATCAAGACTGAACACACGACAGATAATGTGTAAGATTCTCTCCCCAGGATCCCAGTTCTTTTACAATGCTTTTCCTTAAAGACAATCACTGATCATTGTGGTAGGCTGAATAAGGCCCCGGCACCAAATGTGCAGGAACCTGTGAGTGTTACCAAATATGGCGAAAGGGGCTTTGCTGATGGGATGAAGGATCCTGAGGTGGGAAGGTTATCCCAGATCGTCCTGGCTGGGCCTTAAACGCAACCACAAGTGGCCGTATAAGAGGAGGGCAGAGGGAGATTTGACACAGAGAAAAAAAAAGGCAACGCGAAAACCGAGCAGAGAAAGATTGGAAGGTGCCACACTGCTGGCCTTGAGGATGGAGGAAGGGACCCCAAGCCAGCAGCCGCCAGCATCTGGAAAAGACAAAGGACAGATTTTCCCCTCGAGGCTCCAGAGGGAGTGTGGCCCTGTGGACACACCTTGGTTTCAGCCTAGAGAAGTTGATTTTGGACTTCTGGCCTCCAGAACTGAGAGAGAGTAAATTTCTGTTGTGTTAAGCCAACAAGTTTACAGTAGTTGGTTATGGTGGCCCTCGGAAACTATTCCATTATTGGATTTGGATCAGAGAATTTAAAAGAAATGGCATGTATGTGCCAGGCCCCCATGCCTGCTGGCTCTGATGGCTGGAAGGCGGGATGGGGCAGAAGCAGGTGAGTGAGTGTGGCTGAGTTGTGTGCAGCTGCCTGGGTCATCAGCATTCTTGTTTACGGGTTATTTCACATGCTTTATTCCTGCCCCTTACTGTGACGCAGAAGGTCTCAGGCAGGCAAGTGGTTTGCCCTAGGGCACTATGGCTGACTGGCTAGAACTGGAGCAGGGATTACAATAAAAATCCAAACCCTTGTCCACCTCTCCAGCCTCCTGCCAACCCCTTTATCCTCTCCCACCGGTCCCCAGGCCTAGAGGCTTTTCTCTGACCTTCCAACAGGGCCTTAGGATCTTTGCACCTGCAGTACCTTCCATGTAGATCACTTCCTCCCGGGTCTCCCATGACTGGCTGCTCTTCATCATTCAGGTCTCAGCTCAAACGTCACCTCTTCAGAGATGCCCTCCCTGACTGTGCTAAGACAAGCGGCCTTGTCCAGTTACTTTCTCTTTCATCATCCTATTGATTTTCTCCCAACTCTTCTCACACTCAGTAATTATCATGTTAACATCTTTGTTTGCCTGTTCAATGTTATTCCCCTTCCCTACCCCACCCCCCAGGCCGCAGGATCCGGGAGAGCAGGGGCATTGTCTGATGGGTCCAGGGTGTGTCCCTAGCCCATGCCTGGCACACACTAGATGCTCAGTACATTCCGAATGAATGAATGAATGAATGAATGAATGAATGAATGAATGAATGAATTTGCAGCTTTGAGGGATGCTTGCCCAAAGCCAGTCCAAACATACCTGATCTTGGCTTTCCGAAAGGCCAGCTCCTCCTCGTTGCCGAAGTCCAAGGACACATCCTCAGTATCGTCCACCAGGGCCTGGGAGCGGAGGACACCAAAGGTGAGTGCAGATCCGCTGGCAGTGCACAGCCCCACCCTCACCCTCCCTGGAGGCAGTGCCCGCCCCTGCATCTGTGACTAGAGGCCTTCTCCACCCTCATGCCCATTTGGAAGCCAGCCCAGGCTCGGGCCCGGACTCACATAGCCCTCCTCCTCCCGGCTTCTCCTAGCGCTCCAGCAGGCTCCTCCTGTCCTCACCATCATCCTTCCACGCACGGCATCCCCAGCGGCCCTACCTGCTTCATCCTCCCTAGGGCCCTCCTGGAGCCCAGACCCCAGGCTCCGGCTCCGCCTCTCGCCGCGAATGATCAGGGATGCCCCGAGGGCCACTGACTGCAGACCTGAAGGGGTCAGAGCTTGCGCCCGCGGTGCGGCCTCCGCGCAGGTCTCTTGTGGGGGCGGGGCGCGCAGGACCCAGAGCGCAGTCGCGGGCTGGGGAGGTGGGCACCGCGGCCCTGGAGAGGCGGGGCATGAAGGGTCCCTGGGCCCTGGGACTCACGGGGTACCGGGCCTAGGAGAGAAAGAGCAGGTTCTCAAAGTGAAGGGATGGAGGGCGTAGATGGAGCGGTGACAGAGAGGGAGACGATTTGGGCGCAGAGGGGGACTTGAGGATCGTGAACTGTAATCCTGGGAGCAACACAGAGGGCAGATCAGTGAAGGAGGTGATGTTCCGTAAATGCCGAAAGAGCGAACGAATGAATGAATGAGTGAGTGAGTGAATGAATGAATGTCAATGGTGAGCAGCCTCATTCAGGGTTTGGAGAGGGTCAGTGTTTTCCAAAAGTCTCTGAACCCAAGAATTTCCCAGGACCCTTACTAAAAGCAGATTTCCAGGTCTGGCCCTGGAGGGTCAGAAGTCTGGAGTAGGGCCCTAGAATCTGCCTTTTAACAGGCGACTCTGCTGTAGCCACAGCTTGAGAATCATTTGCTGACCCCGGGGACAGCAGCGTGCATCCGGGTCCTGGCACATACTGAGCACGAAATAACTATTATCGGCAGTAATAGCAGTGTTTCTGGATGTAAAGTCCTTCCAGGTATCTCCCAGAAAAGAAAGCTTGCCACCTGAAAGTCTTTCCTGGCCTGGGACAAAGTCACTTCCCTTCCTTTCTGCCCTCTCCCTCTCCTGACCTCCCACCCAGGGTCGGAGGGCTAAGCATCTTGATGCCAAGGCCCTGAGTCCTTCCTCTTGCCCTCCTGCCACTGGCAATAGGGTCCTGTCCCCCATCCCTGGTGACCCAGAGAAGGGCTGCTGGTCCACAAGCTTCTGACGCACGCAACCACCACTGGCCCCTGACAGGTGAAATTACCCTAGGATGTCCCCAAGAGGAGGAGGAAGCAGAGCTGCCTAGGTTCTTATCCCTGGGTGGGTCGTCTTCATTCTCTAAACTGAGCCCACAAAAGACCTGCCAGGTATGTGTGGAGGGAGGGTGCTTTCTCCTGGGGACAGAATGTCATCTTTAGGTGTCAAAGGGTCTGGGTGGGGCTTAGATGCTCCCTCTCTAACAAGCTCTCGGTGATGTTGATGCTGCTGGCCTCTGGACCACTCTTTGAACTTGTAAGGATCTAAATCACCAAAGCCTGGTTTCCTAGAGAGGCCTAATGGGCCTTCCAGCCCAAAGTTGGTTCCAGGCACATAAGAATGTCACACTGAGAGGCTAGGCCCCAGCTGCCTCGAAGGGGATTGGGGGGCGTGGGCAGGTGGAGGTAAGAAGCCATTGCAGAACATTTAGGGGCTTTTCCTCCTACCCTGAGAATCACCAGCTGTTAGTATCTGTTAAGTTGGAGCTCAGAGAGTCCCCAAGGGGCTGAGCAGGTAGGAAAGCCCCCTTGGAAGCCCCATTTATGGACAAACTGCCATTGTCAGCCATCGGGTTAGGGGTGCCTTGAAAAACAGCCACAGCCCCAGGCATGTGGAGGTCACCCCCCAAACACAGGGTCATGCCGCTCTCCCCAACCCCCAATGTGTCCTGGGGCACAGGCTGAGGATGCAGACTGTGGGCCAGACCTGGGAGGTTCAGCACTCCCTCCCTGGGGGAAAGCCCCCTCCCGGCACTCACACTGGATGGCCCTCTGCAGGGTCTCTGCAGAATTTGGGGTGTGGTTGGAGAGCTCGGGGTTTTGCATGGAATTCAGCATTGGCTCTAAAACCGGTGCCATGGATTCACCTGAGGCTGCTGGTTAAAAGGCAGATTCCAGGGCCCCACTTCAGGCTTCTGAATTGCCAGGACCTGGGAATCTGCTTTTAATAAGGGCTCTGGGGGATCCTTGGGATCAGAGACTTTTAGGAAACACTGAACTTCTTCCCTGACACTATTACCATTGCAAATGGCCACCGGGATCCTGACACAAGTTTCCCTCTGTTGGTTTTGGCCCAAAAGGGGGTTGGGGAGCAGAGCTGTGAGGGGCAGCCCCATCTCTGTTCCCTGACCCTGGAGCCAGAACAACTCGGGGAAGGGGCTCTAGGCTTAGACAACACTGGCCTCTGGATGGCCCTTGGAGGTCAATATCTAGGGCTGGGCAGGCCCGGCTGGGGATGGGGCTTCACCACTCCATGGCTGGGCGGCCTTGGACAGGAGACTTCACCTCTCTGGCCTCAGTCTCCACATCTGTAAACTGGGACTGTATCTCCCCCAACCTAGTAGGGATTTTGCCTCGACTAGAGAAAACACATGTAAAATGCCTCCTCACAGTAAGGGCTCAGAAAATAGTAGCCTTGGTGACAGTGACTTGTGGTCATCAGCAGAGGGGCCTGGGGTCTTCGGAACCCCATGGGCCTTGCAGAACCCCATGAGTTCTCATGGCTCATGCCAGAGTCATTCCTTCCACTGAGGGGCATTTGTCTTCATGGGGTTATAGGAGCTGCACATCCAGCTCAGTTGGCAGTTTCCTGAGCATCTACCGTGAGCCCTGCACTGGATATGTCCAGGACAAATACAGCTGGGACAGAGGACCGTGCATAGCCCTTCTCCCCAGATGGAACCCCAGGGGCCCTGGACCAGGAGGCAGAAGCTTGGATGTGAACTGAGTGGCTGAATGCTGGAGCCCGGAGCATGGCTGGGCGAGGTGGGAGGGGCCAGCATGGCTGGACCACGCTTGACTCTAAGACACGCAGACATTCTGCTCCTTATCCTGTGGGGAAAGGGCAGTCGGCGCAGGGGGTTAAATAGTGAGGGCAGGGGGTGCATGTGATCGGGCCTGGGGCTGGAAAAGACCCTGAGCTGCACCCCTTCTCCCTTCAGGCAGGGTGGGAGTGCACCCCTGGGCCTGTCAGTCCTGAGCCAGCAGTTGCCCCTCGCCCCCGCGCCGGCACTCCCCAGGTGAGGTGGCATTCCTAAGGCCCTGCTAGTCTCCAAGATCTTCCCACCTGGCACCCGGCACCTGGCAATGGCCCTGCCGTTCCCTCCTGGAGGGGTTGCCAGATCGAGCAAGTAAAAATAGGGGAAACTGGACTTCAGAGAAACGACAGTGATTTTTAGTGTAAGCATGCCCCGTGCAGTATTTGGGACATATTTTTATTAAGAAGTTATCAATTGTTTGTCTCAAATTCAAATTTACCTGCTGTTCTCTCTCATTTGGCAACCTTATGACACCAGGCCAGAGTACATCCAGGCCCATGAGGCCTGGGGCTCTCACCCTGGTGTCTGACAGCTCGCCCCGCCTCTCCCACCCTCCACCTCCTGCAGAAGCCGTGCCATGTCACAGTGCTCCTTCCACCTGCCCTGGCCCCTGTCCTTCTCCACACTGGCCCCTAGGAAGGCAGAGCAGGTTGCTGAGAGAAGAAGGCTCTCGTGGACTCCCCTCAGGGCCTCTATGTAACCCACCCCACCATTCTTTTAACATTATTTCTATAAATGATGACCTGTTAACTCATATGTGACTGCAGATAAACAACCCATTTGCTTGAGCATTCTAGGAACTAACTTCAGAAGAAGCAGACTCCAACCTGCAGACATTCCAGCTTCAGAGATTTGCTGACCTTTATTCAACCAGTTGTCTGAACAGACTGTGCTGGCTTGCACCAAGTCCCCTCAACGGAGAACTTTCGACCCTCTCTTTTTTAATTCCTCTGTTTTTTTTCCTCCTCTCTCCTTACAAAAACTGCTGCCTCTGTCCAATTGTTAAGACGGTCTTTGCAACGAGAGTCCGCCATCTTCTCAAGCTGCTAGCTCTTAAATAAACCTACATCCCTTCCGCAAGCCCTTGTTTCTCAATTATTGGCTTCCAAATGGTGGGCAGCTGAACCTGGGTTTAATACCATCTCTTCACCTTGCCGGGGCCAGGTGGTACATGGGGTGAGCCCTGAATTTCTACCGGATGGACCACAGCTGTGCCTGGGCCTTCATTTCCTCACCTGTGAGACGGGGAGAGCATCACTGCCTTGCACATTTAGGAGTCCTTCACTCACCCACTTGCCCACCTACTGTGTCCTTGAGTCCCACCCTCACTGACCTGAGATTCTAGTTAAGAGAGAATAAGAATTACCAAGTCTGACCACCCCTCCCCCAAAAAGAGAGAGAGATGTGAAAGGTCTCTGAAAAACTCAAACAGAGAGAGCAAAGGTGTAGACAGTGGTTGCATGGGGCATTAGGGAGGAGGTCAGGAAGGGCCTCGGAGCCTCTATATCACTAGCCCTGTGAAAAACCGGTGCGTGTGGTGGGGAGCATTGATTCAGAGGAAAAAGCAGCGTAGCATCCCTGAGGTGGGAAAGGCCTGGGTGTGTTCTGAGAATGACTGCATCTGGCCTGCCTGAAATAGCACAATCATGGAAGCCGACTGGGAGCGGGAAGCCCTCCTGCCCTGCAAAGCTTTGTGGGTCCCTGACAGGAGTTTGGTGTCTCCCTGAAGGGAAGGGGAAGGTTGAAGCTACCTGACTAAGGACAGAGACTCAGGTGTCCTGGTACCCATCTCTGCACAGGGCCAGGAACAGCTCTGGCAGGATCGAGGGAACCTTTGCAATCCGTACCAAGTGGAAAGGTAGGAGGGCCTGGGAAAGGTTTTGTTTGTTGAGGACCTACCTCCTGGTATCTCTGACAACTACCACAATTCATTCAGCAAATTGTTTGCAGATAAGGCCCAGCCCTTCCTCTTTACCTGCAACTGGCTCTGTCCCACCCCTAGCCTGACAACACTATTTCTTTGGCAAGTTGTCGCCATGTGACCAGCTGCCCCTGAGAGTGAGGTGGGGTTCCCCGCATGCTGAGAATGTGAGGTCTCCCGCCCCAGAGATGCAAAAAAATGCAATGTGTGGGAAGATGCAAAGGGCCTAGGTCCTTCCACTAACAAATTGCAGGAAAAGTGTTGGGGAGAGGAACCTTCTGATTTAAAGAGATCACGTGCCATATGTGGACCTTATTAGGATGCAATTTGAACAAAC